ATAACGAATTTCATAAAATTGACATATGTCAAAATTATATCAAGAGGGAAGGTTTTTAGTTACGATATGAACAAATTTAAGTAGTTAAATTAGTTGAAAATAAAATGTTGTTTTGAAAATACCGCTTATCGTAAATTTGACATGTGTCAAAGTTTGATCAAGTGGAAACTGTTTTAGTTACGATATAAACAAATGCAAGTAGTTAAATTGATTGAAAATAAATTTTTGTTTTGAAATTACCGCATTTCGTAAAATTGACATATGTCAAAATTATATCAAGAGGGAAGGTTTTGTTACGATATGAACAAATTAAACAAAATATTGTTTTGAAAATACCGCTTTTCGTAAATTTGATATATGTCAAAGTTAAATCAAGTGGAAACTGTTTTAGTTACCATATAAATAAATGCAAGTAGTTAAATTGACTGAAAATAATTTTTTGTTTTGAAATTACCGCATTTCGTAAAATTGACATATGTCAAAATTATATCAAGTGGGAAGGTTTTTAGTTACGAATGAACAAATTCAAGTAGTTAAATTAATTGAAAATAAAATCTTGTTTTGAAAATACCGCTTTTCGTAAATTTGACATGTGTCAAAGTGGAAACTGTTTTAGTTACGATATAAACAAATACAAGTAGTTAAATTTGCTAAAAATAAATTGTTGTTTTGAAATTACCGCATTTCGTAAAATTGACATATGTCAAAATTATATCAAGGTTTTTAGTTACAATATGTGCAAGTAGTTAAATTTATTGAAAAAAAATGTTGTTTTGAAAATACTGCTTTTCGTAAATTTGACATGTGTCAAAGTTTTTAGTTACGATATAAACAAATTCATCTAGTTAAATTGACTGAAAATTAATTGTTGTTTTGAAAATACCATATTTCAAAAATTTGACATGTGTCAAAATTATATCAAGGGAAATTATATTAGTTACGAAATTCAAGTAATTAAATTGTTTTGAAAATACCGCTTTTCGTAAATTTGACATGTGTCAAAATTTGATCGAGTGGAAATGTTTTTAAAAGAAGAGAAATAAAAAATGAAAATAACTCATATTTCAAAAAATTGTGATTTCCCTAAATTTGACATATATCAAAATTATGTCAAGTAGAAAGGTTTTTAGGTATGACATAATGTAAATTACAATAAAAAAAGTCACATTTAAGATTTGTGGTCAAAAAACAAAACAAATAGTGAATCACAGAAATGAATCACCAAGTTTAAAAATTCTCTAGGTTTTTAGTCGGATTACTTTAAATAAAACAAGTCGTATTAAAATTACCGCTTTTCATAAATTTGACATGTGTCAAAATTATGTCAAGGACAGAAATGTTTGTAATGTTTTTTTTAATAGCCCTTTTGGCATAGTTGACATATGTCAAAATTACTTCAAATAGATAAGTTCTTAGATATGAAAAAATCCAAGTACTACAGAGATATTGGTTTTAAAAGTTGTGATATTAAATGTAAAAAATTTATCTAAAATAGAAGTGATGTAATATTAACATAATTATTTAGTTTTGAAACTAAATTTGACATAATTGTAACTTTTGTTTTGAAGAAAATTATGTAAAAATAAAAATGAAAATTACATAAATATCACAGAAATGAATCATCAAGTTTAATAATGACATGTGTCAAATTTATATCTTTAGTAGAAACTTTATAATCTAGAAAAAAAAAATGAAATATTAGTAGTTTTCTTTTTAGTTTGAAATCACTGAAAATAAACCAAATTGTTGTTTTGACAAATGTCGCCAGAAGTGACTCAATTATATTTCATTTCCATTTTAAAAATGTGTAAAAAAGCTGTGACATAATTAAAACAACGTATATGAATACGTTTTTTTAGTCTTGAAAATTAGTTTGAAATCACTGAAAATAAACCAAATTGTTGTTGTTTGAAAATAGGACTTTTCGTAAATTAGCTTCTATTCCCGTCTTACGTGTGTTTAATCTGGAGCAGTTTCACGGTCGCAGATTGATGGAGGAAAGAGAAGCTGTTTAGTGCAAAAAGCACAAACACGCGGAGGAGGAAGAACAAGAAAAAAGAATACCGTGGAATTGGCAAGTGAGGAATAAACAGAGCGGCGATTCCGACTAATCGTTCCTCATAATTTCCTTAATTCCGATGCCTTTTATCAAATATTTACGGAGATCATGACGTAAACAGTCGTTTCGAGAATAGATCGTAGTGTTTGCCGAGCTGCGATGCACAAAACAAAAGCGAAAAAACAAAAGAAGGAAAGGTGCTCCTCCGAGTGTAAATAATGTAAAGGAAGGCTTAATGTGTTTGCATCAGATGCGAAAACAAATCACATGAAAACACCAAGGTTCTGTTTTTATTTTTTGGGTAAAAGACATGCTGATATGCACTTTCAAGAGATTTATTATGACTACCAAGAGAAAACAAATAAAGTTACAATCTCAATGTTTTCAAGTTTTAATTAAAGTCTGGTAGAAAATGTATTTATAAATTGAAATAATGTTTGCTGTGTTTTCATTCAATTTAGTTATATTTAGTAATTATTAAAATATGCATACTTAAGACAAAATTATGACCTTTCCAATGAATCTACTAATAAATTTGTAGTTATTATTGTTGTCCTGTAATTAATTGTGAAAGATGATCAAAGTCAACTTCGAAAATTAAGTTTCTTCACTTTTTGACTAATTACTAAATACTGATTAGATTATCGATAAATGCATTTTAAAGACAATAAGCAACTATCCTATTTCTGATGTTAATCGATCTCCTCCTTTTCAAAGAGCCTACTAGCAAATTTGTGATGTTAGTCATTCCCCTCCAATAGACCGAACAAATTTCTGCAAGGAAAATCTACTTCGGCTATGAAGATTATTCACGTTTTAGTTAATTATTGTATAATTAGGTATGAGATCTAGATGATCGATAATGCAAATTGAACAAAATACTAAGGCCCTTTCAATGAACATACAATCAAATTTATGATATTAATCGTTCTCCTATAATTATACAATAAAATTCTGCTTTGATTATAAAGATTCATCACGTTGTAATTAATTACTAAATAACTATGAATACCAATTAGATGATAGATATAGCAAATTGAATACAAAACTAAAGCCTTTTCAATAACCCTACTATGATTTTGAAAATTCATCACGTTTTAGATAATTATTGTATAATTAGGTATGGGAACTAGATGATCGATAAAGCAAATTTAACATAAAACTAACACCTTTTCAATGAGGCCATTATCTAATTTGTGATGTTAGTCATTCTCCTATAATTATGCAATAAAATTCTACTTTGATCATGAAGATTTTTCACGTTTAGTTAATTACTAAATAACTACGAATACCAATTAGATGATGGATAATGCAAATTAAGCACAAAACTAAGGCTTTTTCAATAAACCTACTATCAGATTTGTGATGTTAGTCGTTCTCCTCTAATAGACTGTAGAAATTTGCGCAAGAAAAATCTATTTCGATTATGAAGATTCTTCATATTTTAATTAATTACCTGATAATTGCGAATGCCAATTAGATGATAGATAATGCAAGTTGAACACAAAACTAAGGCCTTTTCAATAAACCTACTAGCAGATTTGTGATGTTAGTCGTTCTCCGCTAATAGACCGAACAAAATTGTGCAAGAAAATTCTACTTCGATTATGAAGATTCTTCATATTTTAATTAATTACTGGATAACTACGTATACTAACTAGATGATCGAAAATGCGAATTGAACAAAAAACTAACGTCTTTCCAATGAGCCTACATTCACATTGGTCATGTTAGTCGTTCTCCTCTAATAAACCGTACAAATGTGTGTAATAAAAATCTACTTCGATTATTTCGATTCTTCAGGTTTTAATTAATTCTTGGATAACAACTTTTGCCAACTAGATGATCGATAATGCTAATTGAAGATAAAACTATAGTGTTTTATACCGTTTTCCTGTAATAATCTCTCCAAATTGAAAATGCATTCATATCAATTTTAATTTAATTACTCAGTAAATACAGTAATTAGAATTACAGACATTTATAAACTATCTATAAGTTATTACTAATTAACAATTATTAACTAAAATTGATTTTTTTTCTAATAAGATTTTATTTGTTACATAAAAGTGTTATTAATTACATAATTTATTTAATTCCTCTATTAACTTCTGTAACATGATGTTAATCATTAGTTTGGCTATGATTTATAGTCTTCGAAAGTTCAAATATGTTCGTTTCTAAAGGTAATAGGTTTTATCGATCGAAAATGGAATACATATCAGAAGTGAGCGTGCATTTGGGTTTGGAATATATCCAAATAAAATATTTGAAATTCAAGGATTTTACCCCAAAAAAAAAAAGGAAACCTGAAATCTTTCAACTGACAAACTGAATAATAAATCAGCGAAGCTCGGATGGATTAAGTGCCAGCATAAATATGCAATCAATTTCGAGGAAATAAAAAAAACTTAAATTTCGAATAATTCATGAATAAATGATGATTTTAGATGAAGTTAATTAATTGGTCAATAGAACTAAATGATAATTGGTGTTATTTACGTCGATTCTAAAAAGTAGAAGAATTAATCGTAATCCGTGCTTCTGATCGAATCCAATTAATTGCTAAATCTATTCCCAATCTCCCGTTCCGAACTGGATGTACTCAAAGCCAGATTTTATGTGTTCATTGGAGAGGCCATCAACTTAATCCATTAATTGCGTCCAAAATAATAAAAAATTGAGATTGCTGCATCAGGACGAAAATTAAACTTGATTTATATTACCGGTTTAAATTGAATTAAGTGCGCTTAAATAACGGACTTATCTCCCCTTCACCTCTCCTCTTGGGAGACGATAATTCAATTTGCGTTACGCATTTGTTTCATTCTTATTTTGCAGAGAGAAAGGTCTCTTGATCACGTTAAAAAAAAAACATTATAAACGAACAACAGCTTTTACATAATTGATGGAAGCAGTTAAAACGAAATATTATACTTACTTTATACAAGTGAAACCCACGAAAATAAAACTGCACTGCACTTTTCAATTCCTCGTTTCAATCAATTCCTCTTGATAATCTGAAATTCAACAAAAAAACAACAATTAAAGATTATTTATAAATAAGTTTGTTAATTATTAATATTAGAAATAATTAGACTAGAAGTTTTCAAGTTTATTGAAATTCTATCTGTAAATTGATTTGTAATATTTTCAGATAAAATGGTTAAAAATACGTTTGGATTGTGTAAATCATATTTAATGGTACATCTAAGTATAGATCAAAGATATAAACAATTTATAATAGATTTTTTTTAAACTGTGGTTAAATGTGGCTTTCCTAGTGGTTACGTATGATACATCATGATGCGAATATATTCGTCATATGCGCAATATAATAGACCGTGACGAATATATACGACATAACCACTTAAGGAGTTAGTGCTTTTAGGAAAATCACTATTCGCAAACATTATGTGCGTCAAAAAATGCAGTTATGTAATCATAATCAATTTACAATGTAGATGTCATTTGTAAAAGTTGAAGTAAAAACAAAAAATGTTCATAGAAAATTGAAAATTTTACAATGATGATTTATCAAGTACACATTTTACTTATGATGTAATTAATGTGAAAAAACGGAAATGGTCTAATATTAACAGAAGTTTTAAAAATGGGACTTTTCAAAAAAAATTGGCATGTGTCATGATTTTAGTTCTAACAAAATCAAAATTACAATATAGATGTCGCATGAAAAAGTAGAAGTGGAAACATAATGTAAATATTCATAGAAAATTGAAAATTTTACATTGATGATTTGTTAAGCACACATTTTACTTATGATGTAATTAATGTGAAAACACGAAAATAATGTAATATTAACACAACTTTTAAAAGAAATTTGTTTAAATTCACTGAAAATGATACAAGTTATGTTCTAAAAGTGGAACTTTTCAAAAAAAATTGACATATGTCATGATTTTAGTTCTAACATAATAAAATTACAACATAGATGTCGCTTGAAAAAGATGAAGTGAAAAAAATAATGTAATATTGTTGAAAAATTGAAAATTTTATATTGATGAAATGTCAAGTGATATAATTAATGATATAATTAATATGAAAAACGTCTAATATTAACACAAGTTTTGAAAGGAATAGGGTTAAATTCACGGAAAATGATACAGGTTATGTTTTGAAAATGGGTCTTTAAAAAAAATTGACATGTGTCATGTTTTTAGTTCTCACAAAATCAAAATTACAGCAGATATCGCCTGCAAAAGTTGTTGTAAAATGAATGAAAATAAAGGTTTTTCTAATGGTAAGCATCTTCCTTTGATCTTAGAAACATTGTCTGATGTTTAGAACGGAAGCCTGATTTACTCGTGCTTACTTCCACAGACGTTCTTAGTTCAAAAAACCATACGAAAGGCATTCTAAATCCGACATGAACATAGAGAGTACGTCCAAATAAATCAAGCTGTAAATTCCTACGTAATAACCGGAATGCGTCACGTCGAATTCACTTCTTTTTTCCGCTTTTCATTCTCCCCCTCGGCGTTTCCTTATACTTTTTCTTTTTCTGTTCCCCCTTTTATACGTGCATCGAGTTCATCCACGGAGCGTAACGACGCTGTCTCATATCTAAAGAACGATTCACACGCATGCGAATGCTCATAAGACCATGAAGTTTATACATACACGTTCATTTACACCCATTGGATAGGTCATAGTGCGCGATGAAAACAAGAGAAGAGAAAACAACGCATGACAACCATCGCCTTTCAAGGCTCAACTTCTATTAATTCGACGCATTCACAAAGCGTTTTAAATCTGAAGATTAATTATTGTTTGGTTTAGAAAACGATTTGTATATTATTTTATACGCGTAAATCAGATTACGTGTTTTATGAAGTAATATTGTATAGTAAAATTTTATGAATGCGCGCTTCTCACTGTTATTTATATAATAATTCATCGTAAATTTGTAGAAGCTTTGGAAATGAATTAGGATTAAGTAAACCGAAGGAAATTAAAAAGGAAATATGAATTCCTCGAGAGATGCAGATGCAGAAATAGCATCAAGAGATGTCTTGTGTAAATATAGTCAGCAAGCTCCAATATCATCTAAGTTCAAGGCTTTTCCCTTCTTCTCCTTCTTCCTCTTCACTATTCGCGAATGCCATCTTATTAATCGCGCATTAAATGCGCTCGCATAGTTCGAAGTCCTCTTCTCTTCAATCCAAACTGCAGTAAGTTTAAATTAAAACCATTGTTTTTCTTCTTCCGTTACCGCCGCCGCCGACGCTGATGCTTTTAAGTCGAGTAAAGTTTTCCGGGAAAAGTGGGATGGAGGTTGAGGAGACGCACGTGTGCATCCTCCATGCTATAGTTGCAACGAGGTTTCCTAATTAATTTTAGAACTTGTTTACATTTTAGCATGACTTTGTGAAGGCACGGTGAGAACGCGGCGTAGCGTACGCTGTTATTAATGTTATTATACCGAAACTCTAAAACTGTCTACCTTTTCTTTATTGAAGAAGCATCGAGCATCAATTTAACTTCTGCAATAGTTTTTTTGATTGATTTCTACACGAGCTAAAATTTAACTTGCTTTGACACATGATGACAGCTGTCATTTCAACATATTTCTTTGTTGCAGTACGACCCAATTGTTTATTACTTGCTTTGACATAAGGTGACAGCTGTCATTTCAAGATCTAATACAAATAATAATTATTTTTGGGAACGAAAATTGACTTATAACCACAATCATTGATGTCAACATTTATTTTAAAAACAAAAATTGCTATGGTAACCAAGAGAAACGCACATTCATATTTTTCCGATCTAATTAGAATTATTTGTCTACAATTATAAAACAGAGTTTGTCAACATTTTTGTCGCATGATCCAACATATTCGTTTGTTGTATTACAAATGTTTATAAGTTACAATTAACGTGGTTTGACAGAAGTTGACAGCTGTCATTTCACGAACCAATACAAATAATAATCATTTTCATACACAAAAATTGGCTTATAACCACAAACATTGATGTCAAAATTTATTTCAAAAATTAAAATACAAATGAAGTATCACTATGGTAACCAAAAAGGTGACATCTGTCAATACACAAACTAATATAAACCCAATTGGATATAACTTAAAATTGAATTGAATTCACTCTTAGTACAGAATTTATTATATCACATTGAAATATATATTCCGTTAAAAAACTTTATGATAGCTTCTCATAATTGAAATCATTCAGATATTTAGTCTGCAACCCAATTGTATATATTTAAAATTGAATTTGGTTTGACAGAAGGTGACAGCTGTCATTTGATAATGTAATATAAACTCATAGGTTGACAGCTGTCATAAACCAATAAAACCCACATGTTGAGAAACTACTTTTGGATAAAAAACATATTCGTTCATAAAACTTTATGATTGTTATTAATAATTGAAATTATTCAAAGATTTAATCTACAGTTACAAATTAGTTGTTTGTTGCAGCGCAACCCATTTGTTGTAACTTTAAATTGAATTTGGTTTGACATAAAGTGACAATAAAACCCACACGTTAAAAAACTACTTTTGGATAAAAAAAAACATATTCGTTCATAAAACTTAAAGATTGTTACTAATAATTGAAATTATTCAAAGACTTAATCTTCAATTACAACATAGTTATTTGTTGCACAGCAACCCAATTGTTTATAACTAAAAATTGAATTTGGTTTGACAGCTGTCATTTGACAATGTAATATAAACCCATAGGTTGACAGCTGTCATGAACCAATAAAACCCACATGTTGATTAACTACTTTTGGATAAAAAACATATTCGTTCATAAAACTTTATGATTGTTACTCATAATTGAAATTATTCAAAGATTTAATCTACAATTACAACATAGTTGTTTGTTGCACTGCAACCCAATTGTATATAACTTAACATTGAATTTGGTTTGACAAAATGTGACAGCTGTCATTTGACAATGTAATATAAACCCATAGGTTGACATCTGTCATGAACCAATAAAACCCACATGTTGAGAAACTACTTTTGGATAAAAAAACATATTCGTTCATAAAAATTTATGATTGTTACTCATAATTGAAATGATTCAGTGATTTAATCTACAATTACAACATAGTTATTTGTTTCACTGCAACCCAAATGTTTATAACTAAAAATTGAATTTCGTTTGACAGAAGGTGACAGCTGTCATTTCTATAAACTACTATAAACCCATAGGTTGACAAACGTTGTTCTACAATATTAATCACATTACAATTTACTATTGGATAAAAAAAATCAATTCGTTCTTAAAAATTTATGATTACACCTAATAATTCAAATTTATATATTAACTAACCAGATTTTTTTCACTGATTTAATTTAAATGTATTGGCGTGGTAATATTTTAAACTATTGATTAAAAGTGTTGAATAATACGAAAAAACATTGAATAACCTTCAATGAAAACATTCTATTATTTCAAAATTTAATCAAGACCCAAGATATAAAGAGCAGACTTGAAGTGTCCAAATCAGGAACAAGAGGAGAAGAGAAACGGTAACAAAATTGCTGATATTTCCAAATGAAAACGTTTCAATCCGACGTCTCGAGTTGGGAAATGGAACAGGAGAAGTAGAGAAGACATGACGTCTTTTCGTAATTTATTTTCGTTTGTAAGATATATATTCAATATGCCGTGGCTCCGAGTGTTTCTGAATGGACTCACTTCTTCATCGAGATTCCAATTACGTACAGGTAATCTCGTCCGCCCACTTTGCGACGTAGCCTTTTCATTTCTCTTTCTTCTCTCCTAACACATTTTCAGAATGCAGAATGCTAAAGGTTTGCAATTGACGAAATGCCACAAGCTTTATTTTATTGTTTTTGTATTATTATTCATCGAAAATGGGTCAATTAGAACAGCAAACAATGGTAATTAATTCGAGTCGCGCCGCGCCGCGTCACGTATTGCATACACATACACAAAACGTTCGTACCTCTTTACCTATATACTCGTGCATGTGCAAACACATGGAGATATTAACGTATGC